ATGTCATCTTTCCATGCTGCAGAGAAGTTATAGGAGCAAGGTAACTAGAACTCTGGATTAAAAGAAAAGAAAAGAAAAGAAAATTTTACTAGTTACACATGAGACTGCTCCAGATAGTTCAGTGTTTGTTATTACTTTTCAGGTGTACAATAAAGAACTTGGGATCTAGGAAATCTTAGTCCTTTCCAGTTCTGACAGCTCGTCTGAATTTCTGGGTTCCCATAAGAAGGAAGGCTCTTCTCAAAATGAATTACTAACGAGGGAAATTTGGTGGCTGCTGAAGTTACGGTAGATAAACTCATTTGTGCTTCTGTGAGGAGGGAAGTCCCTCTGCTATGTCAAAATGAGTGGTACCTCTAAGTCACTGGCAATGATCTGACACACCAGAAATAGATTTCTGGAACTATCATGGAATTTGGATCTGGTTCCATGACAAGTGTGGGTCCAGGAAGACAAGCTTTTAAGTATTGTTGTCAGGCACTTTATCTTCTTGTGGGTTGTAAGGGTGACATTTATTAGTGATTCAGCAAGGATGCCCTATTTTTAGGCCTGAAGTAATAGTGCAACATTTCAGAGAATGGGAGACAGGGAGGAAGTGATACCAGTTCAAATGAGTCTCTTTTTATTTATGAATTCTGTGTTGATTAATTTTACATTGACCGTATCTCATTTGGGACTTAAAATAGATCAGACCTCCTTCTTAGATCCTTCATGAGTCAAAAGAGACCAAAATAAGGTTTTAGATATGTATCACCAAATAGTGGGTGTGTAATGTTTGGGGTTTTGCTTAGTATTAATACAGAGTGTAGAAAAATAGATCATTCCTTCCTTGCAAGTGAGTCAAAGACTTAGGGGTATATCCTTAAGAAACTTGCCTTGTCTCCTGTTACTCTTATAGAGAAATAACTATAGTCTGATCAGTTATTTCTCAGGTACAACATTGGCCATGAGAAGATCCAGGCAGGAGAATGGATCACTATGTCGGGATGAATCACTACCTCTCGTGTAAATTGGGGAACTTGGCTTCTATGACCACTCATCTTCTGAGTTCAGGAGATCTGTAAGAGTGAAGACTCGTCTCTAAATAAATTCTAATGAGGCCAGTTTGGTGACTGATCAAGCCACATACAAACTTTTTTCTTATGTTGTGTCAGTAGTATTACTTGTGACAAATATGTTATTACTGGCATATTTTATTTTGATAACTAGAGTTTTTTTCAGATGAAAACTAAATCCTGTAGTTAACAATAATTTATTATATATTTTAAAACAGAAGATAGGATTTTAAATGTTTCCAACACAAAGGAATGATAAATGCTTGAGGCAATACATATGCTGATTATCCTGATTTGATCATTTCATATCATGTATGCGTTAACATATCACATTCTAGCCCATAAATGTGTATAAATATCATTTGCCAGTTAGATATAAAAAATACAGATAAGCTGGGCATGTTGTGCCTGCTTGCAATCTTGGAGGCTGAGACAGGAGTATTGCAAGTTTGAGGCCAGTCTCAGCAATTTAATGAGAATGTCTCTCAAAATAAAAAATAACAAGAGGACTGAGAATGTAGGTTAGTGGTAAATTACTCCTGGGCTCAATCTAATAATAATAATAATAATAATAATAATACTCTAAGAACACATATTTATATGAACCCAAACTAAGAGTGACAAGAACTGGACTCCTCCTCAAATAGAGTAACTTTGAGTCAATTACTTCAAATATTTGAGCCTTAATTTCTTCATCTTTGAAATGAGAGTAATATGAAATAGGCACAGAGGTTAGGAAAATATGCCACATGGGTTGAAGGAAGATTGATTTGAAGATTAAAGAAAGTACTTCATGTATTGCATTGAGCTTTTGTTTATGCTAAAGTGGTGCACAAACAAATCTTAGTTCATCCTCCCACATGGCCATGGTGTTGTGGATGTTAAAAGGAAACTGTACTTATCAACTGCTACCTGCATAGTGGTGAAGTGCAATCAAGCCTTAATGAAAGTGCATAAGAAGTGAGGCCCAATCCTAATGGGAAGCTTAAAGATGTGTATATCTGCATGCTTTTCAGGGGAGAGTTTGTTAACTGAACTTAACCATGGTATTCACTTTAAAAACCCCTGCTGACTTCCCTAATCTTTAGAGATGAACTCATCCTCTTTATTCACCTTTTTTTTCTTATGATTGTTAAACTCCCTTGTCACAGTCCTCAAACATCACCATGGTGCTTTGCTCTTTTCTTCTCACACCACACAAGCATCATCATCATCACCAACTTCTTTAACATTTGTTGAAGTCCACTGTTACACAAGGCAGCACATTAGGCGATGCACCTTTGGTTATATGCTAGGGTGTCTCTGCCTGGAGTCCTTTACCCTTTGAAGACCTTAGAGATGCCAAAAATCCACATTAAAATTTATTTAAAACTCATAGGCTTTTCTCTCACTTGGAATCCAGAGTTTAGGATGTGCACAAATATCCTTATGGACCAAGGCATGTTTCTTCACCTCTTTTGTCTTGTTACCTTGAGAGAAAATGTGACACTCTGAAATGCCATGGAAATGGATGGACTACGCCGCTGATGGTACACTGAATTTGAATATCTTTTTGGAGTACGAAAAAGATTTGAGCAGTAGAAGCTCTTACAAAGAAAATAGATTATTTTAATTTTTCACATCCTCTCAGCATGAATGAAATAAATTCCAACATAGCCACCTATTATTTCATAGGAGTGCTGAGCATTCATGTTTTTACTTCTTATCATTTACAATTCATGGCTCAGGAGGTAGTCTTGAAATATCACATTATTTATCACTGTTGCATGCGGAGAATAACAAGCAGTTTGCAATATTAAATAATTCATAGAGCTCTTAAATGGACACACAGGCCTAGCTGTGACACAGTGAAGCCAGTTCTTAATATTCAAAAACTAGGTGGGTGTTGATCACTAAAATTTTAAATACCTTTATTTTTTGCAAAAGTTTTTATAAGAATTAATTGTATTTTCAAAAAATTAAATGAAAATCTTTAGCTTTACTAAAGTAATTATAATTTAAAATTTGATAAGCATAAATTAAAACTTGTTTTGCCCAATGATTTTACTAATTTTGAACATTAGATGAAAAATAATTTTGAAAACATATGAAACAGAAGTTTCCCATACTTATGTTTACTTTCATCTGCACTTTTGACAAAAACATTCAAATTTTGAAAACTTTACATGTGATTAGACTTTTGATTCTTTAGGTCACTGATGTCATAGAACAAAACTTGTATAAAACATCTGGATCAAGAAAGATGATCAAGTGTGTATTTGTTGAAAAAATACATACCAGTTTATTACTTCTGCATGTTTCTTACTTTTACTCATCCAAACATTATTAATCCATGAATGGAACACTCGGATCTATACAATAATAAGTAAACTTCATGGCTTTTCAAATGTTGTTGACCTTCTCTCATATCAACATAACTATCATATATTTTCAGTTTTGTCATTTAAAGGTAAATTTGTCAAGAAGAGGGTAGTGAATATATATTAAATTATCATCTGAGAGTCTCACTTAATAATTTTTACATGGTTAAACATATGACATTTGGAATTTCATCTGTGGTCTTGCCTAGTCCCTGCAAATGACCGTGAAGACACAGGGTCCCATCCCCAGGGAGTTCCTGGTCCACATTACCCTTTCCCAGCTTCCCTCTGAGTCTCTAACAAACCTCATTTCCAATTCCATTCCCACTGTGTTCACTGAATTCACCTTTTAAAGGGTCTCTAACTCCAGTGGGGATACCATGCTTTATTAATATTTGAAATCCTTATAGTATCTTACACATAATAAGGGCTTAATAAATAATTGTCAATTGAACTGAGTTAAAAGAAAAAATAAATAAAAGAGAAGTGCTGTCTATCAGGAGAAGAAGGTCATTTGAATGCCATTGCCTCTGTGAAAATTGCTTTAGAGATCATCCACCACAATTTCCTGAAATATAAAGTGGCAGGCTGCTGTTCTACAGCAGGACAGGAAACTAGAAAAGACTAGCAATCAGGTAGTCTTATTTGCTATAGATCTCTTCAGGAAAGATTTGAAATGAATTCTCAACCTTAGGTATATTGTTCACAACTGAAAATTTAATCAACGTCTCTTGCTTTCTGGCTATAAGATCAGTTATTTTTTTTTTTAAAGAAACAGTATGTAGCTTTAATTTCACAATATGAACCCAGCTTCTTTTCTACAATCTATCATTAAATGAAATAAATGTACTGGGAAAAGCCAGAGGAAGCTTGAGAAAATAGAGCAGTTGCAATTTCTATGGACAGTAAGACCAAATGCTGGATGGTTAGAGAACACACTTTGAGAAATCCTTTTGTGACTGATTCTGTTTCCTGCTGAATATGTATTAGAAGTATTAGTTTGGAAACTGCTGTGTGAAGAAAAGAAGCTAGGAAACTATTACAACTGTGTTCCATTGCTCAAAAGATGAAAAAAATGTCATCTTTCCATCTCTTAAGACAACCATATGTTATTTTTTTATTATTTTCCTCACTCCAAGACTAATGGTCAAACATTATCTCAATAATATTTTTGAAATATTCTAAGTTAAAGCTGGAGACAAACTGCTACTCAATCTTTAAGAAAGGTATCATTTGAATATAAAATAAAAATAAAAACAAAGGGTCATATTTTAATATAAGATTAGCTATTCTTATTCAGGAAGAACAGTAGATTACATGCATGACTATTGGCTCTAATTTTTAAAATTGTGTCTGGGAAGAAACTGTTTGAAAAGGCCACCATGGGAGCTGGGAAGAGATGGAAAGGAAAGATTTTAGTTTGGAATTCTTTGTGTGGGTGTGTGCATAGATGGTGGGGGTATGTCAATTGAAAAGGTTTTATTTAATTAGAACTCTCCCCTCCCTCTCCCCCCCCACCCCGCCCCACAGCCCAGAGTCTACATAGTTCTCATTGATTCCCCTTTTATTTAACTTTCTGCATCAGGATTTTTGGAAGAAGATATTAGTGTTGGTCAATGAACTGAAAAAGAAAAGAAAAGAAAAAGAATGAATATAGCTGAAGCTTCTTTCCTGGTCCAAAGAAGAGGAGGAAAGAGCTCACACAGGGAGTATGTGAGCTGCAGCTTAGGTAAGGTACATATTGTGCCAATAACTACTGGAACTTTGAAAGTTTTAAAAATTATTTTTAATAAAAACCTTGAAATTCATTTATAACTCTTGTTTTCAAGACTCAATTTCATTGGGAAATTCAGGTCTAACTTATAATCACATAGTTATTGTATATCAGGTTCTACCCGGTTATTATTTTAAGTGGATTCCTAAATCCCCTTCCCTGACTTCAGTGGCTGGTTCCCACTATCCCTGCAAATAAGCAGGAGGCAAGCAACTGGGTCTTCTCACATCCTCAATGTACATAGAGAGGTCTTTATCCTCCATAAAGATATTGTTTACCTTCATCTTTCAGCTCCCATTCTGACTTGATTTTGAATCTTGCTGGCTCTACTCCCCTCCTAGAATTACAAATGACCTCTCCTGCTGGAGGAGGGAAGGGTAGGGGAAATCCTGGGGAATGATATTGATTAAATTTTTAAAAAAAGAGACCTCCCCTTCAGTTGCTCTTTAGTCAATCTAAAATTCCTAAAGAATATTTATAGATAGACTTCCTTATATTCCATACCAAACTTGTTTATAAAAGTCATGCATGTGCTTGATCAAAAACCAAATATCTAAATTTGTTTTTAGTTGTAGTTGGACACAATACTTTTATTTTGTTAATTTATTTTTATGTGGTGCTAAGGATCAAACCCCGTGTCTCACACAAGCTAGGTGAGCACTTTTCCGCTGAGCCAAAACCCTAGCCCACCCGAGTACTTATTTACATTACAAGTTGAATCACAATGTCCTTTGCAGGTGATATTTGCCATCTAAATGTATTCAGTTCATACACAGGTATTTATTGTGTTCCTACTATGTAGTATGTATTGTTCCTGACACTGAACATATAGCTATGAAAGAGGCAGTCAAAATTCCTGCCTAAAAGTAGACATTATTATTGCTGTGAGTATATATGTGACTGCATAACCAATGTAATTCTGCAACCTGTACACTCAGAAAAATGAGAAATTATATCCCATCTGATTCAAATGTATGATATGTCAAGATCATTGTATTGCCATATATAATTAATTAAAACAAATTTAAAAAATTAGAAAAAAAAATCCTGCCTATATGACATTTATCTTTTAGTGGGTGAAGTAGAGAGTTAACAAATGTTTGTGTCCTTACTTGGTGATGTTGCTTAGTAGGGAAAAAAAAAAAAGCCTGTACCACAAAGGCAGGTTAGAGAAGGAAAACTTCAAATAACAGGACAGTTACAATTTTTAAAAGAGATTTCTATTCCTCATGTTCATTGGCCTAGTATCTCCAATATGGCAACTTGAGAAACACATTCATTTCACTCTTATCTTATTTTGAAAATATTCTGATCAAACTTTTCTGCAACTCAATTATCCACGTTTTCAATTAAAGAAGTATCTTAAAAAACGAATTAGAAGAACCTCGAGCAATGTCCTGGCCTAGTCTTCTGCAAAATCCTTTCTTAATATTTATAAGGTAGAGTCATCTAGTAGCTAGTAAAATCTAATTGATTCAATAGCAGTACTCAACATTTGTTTTGCTGATTCAAAAACAATTAGAAGGATGAAATAACCTGACAGAACTTAACAATGTTAACCAATGGAACATATGCAAACTGGTAAATAGCCACTCCAACTGCTAGAGTGATGGATAAAATAGTATTTTAGGGCATTGTAGGAGAAAATCTGAGTTCCTACATAAGTTCATTTATTTTTATAGTGTCTGTTTACAATTTTTTTCTATAAGCCTATTTATATAAAAGCAGGAAAAGCAAATATTTTTATGCATGCTCCTACAATCAATATGAATTTGGCCAAACCTGCTGAGATGGTTCTGTTCATAAATTTAAGGTAAAAGTATAATGCATTTCTTTAGCTGTATTTCTCCTTTACTATGTAGAACTGGAAAGATTCACTCTTTGGAGAGTTCATCTCCCACTGGTTGGTTCTTGGGCTGAGTGCTGCCGACTCCTCTGACGTTGATCTCAGGGTTAGCAATGAATTCTGAGGTGGTTGAGTCACTTGGTGGGCAATTGTCATGCAACATTGAAATGGTTGGTGGTTTCTTTGACCATGTCTGCCAACTAGAAATGCCAGAGATTCTGCTGTGCTGACTTCAGTACTCATACCCCAAAAAAGGAGAGCAGGTCAGTTTCAAGTTGGAGAGGGCCTCTGTGCATGTAATGCAAAGGAGGAGGGAGGGCTTTGCAGGAACTGATCTGCATGTGAATTTTCAAAGAGGCATGCCATTGCCATTTTATTTTCTTCAGCATGCTGTACCTTCCTCAAATAGAGAATGGACCCTGTGGGCCAAGTCTTACCTACCTCTCCATGTGTGAGACCCACTAGCATTCCTTAGAACCTAAGATAAAAAAATTAATGCAAGGAGAGGAAGATGGCGGCGAAGGGAGTGCATCACCCCAGTGCGCCGCGTCACTGAGCCAGTGAAAGACGATATGAAACAGCTGAAGGATTTCTTGTTGGGAATTTCCAGTGAAATTGAGGCGCTGCAGAATCCAATGGACAGGTTTCCATCGTGCGAGGTTCGGCTGTGGGAGCTCCATTTCTCCGCACGGAGGGTCGCATAGCCTGATCGCTCCGCGGCTGGTTGTCTGTGGCGCGCGCTGGGGATCGG